TTAAACACGTGTCATTCCACGTGCCATTTAAAAAAAAGTTCAAAAATTACACTTTAAGAGGAATCCTGCACAACGCCGAAAAACCGCAGGAGAAAGATGAAAAATCTTGTTTTGGAAAAAACTTATAAACAATAATTAGCTCATATAAAATGAAAATTATCAACTAGAATAACCTTCAAAACCTATTGCTGTTTTAGAAAATTCATTCATTACTAACTGCTACTATTACTATTATTATCACTGTCATTATTATTATTGCTATTATTGTTGTTACTATTGTTATCACTATTATTATCGTAATTATTATCATTATTACTATTGTTATTAACACTACCGCCATTATTACTATTGCTATTATTTATCATAAGTTATAACTTTTAGAATACTGTCATTACTAATTTAGCCACTCTTTTCTTATTGTTATTGTTGTTTCTCTTTCAGTAAAATCAGCGAGGATAAAAAGGCAACATATACTTGGGATGCATAAATCATCCATAATTCACGTTCTGGTTTGTAGGAGTAGTAGTTATTCAACTAATCATAATTCAGTAATGATAGCCAGAATTTGTGCTCAAGATATATCAATTTGTTGACAATATGGAGCTGAATAATAAGTTGAGCAGATCAGAAGGCTTACCGGGACAGATGGTGATGGAATTAAGCCAGCCATCTGTAGCAGAGCAGCTGCTATGCAAACACAATATGCTCCTGAAAGCGAGAAATTCTTTTTAGTAAACAAAATTTTCAGAATTAAGCCAGCAAATGATCGATTAATTCACACAGAAATGGCCTATATGCCTATGTATTTATATGTACGAGTTTGTAAGCTTGCCAATAAAACCGACCTCCAAAATCATCATCTTTTTTTTTTGTACCTGTTGTGGAAGTCCAGCGAAAAGCCGGCAGTTGTGCAGTATAGCGCTGCAGCAACCTTGCGGGAGTATTTATATAGAGATGCGTCATGCTCACAGAGATGAACGGTTTGATTTCCTCCCGGTCCATACTTATTTGTATCTACGATGAGCCTAATGTAACAATATAACATGCAATTTCCTTCCTCCCTTTATCTGTAATTCGTTCCATCTCAATTGAATCAGTGTGTCTGAGACTCAATTGAAACAATCCTCTAACGTTTGTACTTAACAGCACCACAGAGCTAAATTCGCATTTGGAAAAGACTAGCAAATCTAATGTGACGTCAGTTTTTTTCAGGAAAATTCGTTTTGTTCTCACATTCACTCAAACTGGGCAATTTCTCCTCATTTCAAGAGGCGAAATGAATGCCGGGATCGTCAGCAGGCTGACCACCAAGTGAAGCAGCACTGGTCAAAGCAACTATTAGAAACTGCCAGATACAGAGCCAAATGTAAAACACCACATCTATTCACTAACTAAAAAAAACTCTCTGAAAGTTATCATCTTTTAGAAGGTTTCTTGTGTTTTTGAGTTACAATCCATATCGATTCTGATGATTTTGGCATTTAGACCCTTAAAAAGTCTCATAATGCCTATGTCTCTATTCTTTCACATCCATGATGGAGAGCGGCCAAAGCATAAGAAAATATAAGGTTACTCACCTGATGAGCCAAGGCCAACACATGAAGGAAGCTTGAAACGAACAGTAAGTTTTACAGCAAGTATATCCCTGAAAAAAAAAAACTTTCGCAAAAATCTGAGAGACTCGAAAACACTTAACCTCTGGACAAGCAACTCTTTTACAATTCGTTTGTTCATTTACATGGTAAACTGGTAGTAGTAGTCAAACCCGCCATCAGCTTGCTTCCAAAAAACCCTCGAAAAAGAATGCCATCGACAACACTGCCAGAAGGTGGCTGTCAACAATTGCTATCAATTGAGTTGATTTCGAGTACTTTCACCTTTGATGTGTTGAAGGCAGTGACGCACGGAGATACGAAATACTATAGTCACTAAAGAAAACACAAAAATGGCCGACTGTTCGTAGGTGAATGCTCGTAATAAGAATTTTTAAGCGATCTGCTTATGACCATATAAGCAATCAGACTCACCACAAATGCCGTGCAAGACGCTATAGCAAACATGGGAAAAACTAAAAACCGATGGGGCATGGCCTATTGTTCGCCTTATTGACAATCGGAGGAAGATATGCATTAGTGAGTGGTATTTGCCGGCAAATAAATGACCATTCAGGCGGTCTTCGAAGAGACGGCTCACATATATAACAAAAAACGATGGATACTAACTGGAAGTATACAGCTTAGGATCGAAGGACCTGACATAGCTGTGTCTTGCGTTCCAGAGCATCCCAGTAGCATCAAGTGCCCATTCAACTTAGGTAATCCTAGTAGTAAATTATGCGGAAATAATTACCAAGAATGTTAAAACTGAAAAATTGTACAAATCATATGCTACTGTTCCTCTTTGCATAAACAGTAATCGCTGCATTTGTTGATTTAACAGGGAACAAGAAGGAGCGAATTAAAAATTAATATTTGTGAGATTAATTTCTGCCTGTCGCCACCTCTTTCCGCATCTCTGTTCCTCATGTGCCAGTAATTAAATTTAAATTTCAACTCGAAAAAAAAAACCAGGCAATCATAAAAAATGTATAAGTAATGTGCAATATCTATCCATTTTTGCAGATAATTAAAATTACACAGTAAAAAGGAGCTTTTTCCCCCCAATTATTTCTTCTCGCGCTCTCTCCTTCCCTACTTCAATCCCCCTTATTGGCTTGCTTCTGAATGTTGCAATTTTGCTGCATTTATGTAGAAATCGAAAATAAAAAAAAAAAAAAAAAACTC